TTATATAGAATCATTTTCACTTGAGCAAAATCCTGATGAAACATATTGTATTGATCAAAAGCTTCTACATTAATTCCTCCGCTTTATCAATCAACTCTATCTGAGTAGCCATCTCATTCTCTTCGATTTCAATAATCTAAGATCATATTAATGATCAACTCGAAAATCTGCTTCACTTTAGGAAATGTCGTACCTTCATTTCATACCTCGTTCGAAAGCTTACTATTCTTATGCTTTCAGTCGTAAATTTATCTCGATGAATTCTATAATTCATGTGATGTTACATGAAATGTTTTTTTTTTCTTACATATGTAATCATCTCAACAGGTAGACGAGTTATTTTAAATGATTTCATAAAATATTTCTAACTTATCTATTATACTTTTCAATACTACATTTTCTCTATCTATTCAGGTGTTTATTTAATTTCATGAGTACAACACTTTCCTAATTTTCCTTTTTCTATCATAACATGGCTCTGGAATTCGATGAGTTCTAATCAACTAATTAAATTAAAACATTTTTTCACTTTTACTTTTTAGACTCGTTTTAGATAGCTATATATACCGTAAGTTTATTCCAAATATTAAATTAAAATACAATTTCATTTTAATTCATCGATTTGTTTCGAAAATCGAAAAAAAGTGTGAATTAATTCAATTTATTAAATAAAAATACAATCTTTAACTTTTGTTTGGAGATTCGATCCGTATTTATTAATATATCCGGTGAGTTTATTCCAATTACTAAATGAAAATGAAATTCTATTTTTATTTTTAGATTCGTGGGATATCGATAGATCTAGTGAGTTTGAATCAATTTATCAAATTAAAATGAAATTTTGTTTTTATTTTTAGATTCGTTTTATAACTCAATATGTCGGATGAGTTCATTGGAATTACTAAATAAGAATGAAAGTTCATTTTTACTTTTAGATTCGCTGTCTGGCAATAGATTCAGGGAGTTTGAATCGATGAATTAAATAAAAATACAATTTTATTTTCAGTTTTTGGATTCATGCGATATTGGTAGATCCGGTAAGTTTCAATCAATTTATTAAATTAAAATAATATTTTATTTTATTTTTATCTTCGTTTTATATTTCAATACATCATGTAAGTTTATTTCAATTACTAAATGGAAATAAAGTTTCGCTTTTACGTTTAGATTCGTTTTATATCTCAATATATCTGGTGAGTTTACTCCAATTACAAAATGAACATGAGATTTTATTTTTATTTTTAGATTCATTTAATATCGATCGATTTGGTAAGTTTGAATCAATTTTCTAAATTAAAGTTTCATTTTTATTTTTAGACTCGTGTGATATCGACATATTCGGTGAGTCTGAATCAATGCATTAAATAAAAATACAATTCTATTTTCATTTTTAGATTCGTTTTATATTCATAGATCTGGTGAGTTGGACAAAAATTCTTTAAATTAAAAAACAGTTTCATTTTTATTTGTAGATTCGTTTTATATATTAGTATATATGAAAAGTTTGTTCTAATTATTGTACGAAAATGAAATTTTATTTTCATCCTTAGAATTGTTTTCTCGCAATAGGTCGGGTGAGTTTGAATCAATTTAGTAAATTAAAATATAATTTTCTTTCTATTTTTAGATGATTGTCGTAGGGTAATGTTTGATGAGCTATGAAATTCGTTCATTAACTATTTTGGTTGAATTATGTTTTACATGCGAAAGGGTGCTCATTAGTTTTGATGTGGTTGAATGTGAAGGAAACGGGTAAGTTTAGATGATTTTCGATGAAAAATTGTTTCTTTCGTTCATTTTTTAGGTGGAGAAGGCCGTTATATTTAGCTTCTTGGTGGTTTGGTAATGGTGCGACGAAGTGCATCCGGATAATTAAAGTTTTTCTCTAAATTCCGTGTGTTGCTGACCTTTAATGACTGTTCTAGTTATTTCTTGGTGCGAATAGATTCACAACAGAACCTCATTGAATGTCTGTGGCCGCTGTGAATGCCTGTTGCTGCTGGCAGAGAAGTGATGGATTTCTGTCTAGGCTAGTTTGGTAGAGCTTTAACCGCATTCGGAAACCTTTTCTTTGGGTTTCCAAAGAGGTATTTGAGGTTTAGCTATAATGGGTACTATGGGTTTCCGAGGTCTCGGAAACCCTTCTTCGGAAACCCTTAAAGGGTTTCCTATAGTAACAAACTCGGAAACTCTCTAAGCGTTTTCGAGAATACCTATTTTTTTTTAGAGTGTAGACATACAAGTGCAAATGTCTGTACGCTGCTTCTTATGAAGACTTTCATATTACTCACAAGCATAAAGAATGCAACAGCATCCTAAGATGAAATATCAGTACATTTGTTTAGTCACTGACTTATAGTGACTGTTAAAATAATCTTCATCTCAACACGTCAAATAAGTAATTAATAGATAAGACGACATTAGTAAAGTGCAATTTTATAAGGTTCACACCTATGTGTGTGCTCGAGAAGTATCTTATTCAATTTCAATTTTTATTTAGTATCATAATAAAAAACATATAATAAACAACCTTATTAATGTCGATGTGCACATGAATGGTAATGGTAGTCTTTTATTAGCAGCATGCATGCAGCACTTTTGCGTGATTTCTGAACATCGCCTATTTTTATGTAAATGTCGAATAAAAAAGCTCATTTTGAGTATAATATCGACATCCATCAGGCGAAGGCCTCGGTTGAGTATCGAGTACATAAAAAATGGTGCCGTATACCACCATATTGGTGTATGATCACAATATTCTTTTTCGACCATCCTAATTTCGTCTTCATCAATGTCATCTTGAAGACGACAGTATTCAGCAAGTTCTCTAACGGATTCTGTATCATCATCTTCTATATCCAATAGTGCTTCTTTTAATAATTGCGTGTACATAAATAATGGATCAATGCCATTAAAACTGATGGAGATCATAGCTCGATCACAATTTTCACGATCGATTTGTAATGCCTTGCAAATCGGTTCGATGCTTGTGTGTACACCTTTTACCTTTCTTATTTTTCTGACCCATTGTTCATGAACTGATTGATCGCCGCAAAACACATAAATTGATTCCACCTGTGGCCATGCTTCAATTTCTGGTATAATTTGTCGAGCCAGTGCACCAGAGACAATCATGAATACCTTTTCTTTCTTTATTGTACTGAGAAAATCAACGCATTCTTGAACATCCTTAAACCTTGTGACGGATGCTACGATTTTTCGAAAATGTTGTAGTAACTTTTTGAAATCATCATCTGATTCATCAAAATTGGCGTCAAGCCATATCAGCAGAAAATTTTGTATCACGCGGCGCACAGGTCGAGGTAGCGCAGCAGCACGATTGATGGTAGTAGTCATCGCCACTGCCTCACTAGAAGTAGTTTTTGTCGGTTTTTGTTTGTCCATGATGAATGGATGAATGAATGAATCCAATGAATGAGACGTGGTCTCCAAGTGTTTATATGACTTTTTATTCTTTCTGTTGATCGTTTTTTTGGCTTGCTGCTATGGACTTCAAGAGCGTCTTTTCTCGATTGTTCGTTTATTTCAAGAATGTGCTGCTGACGAAATGACGATGACGAAAGGGTAGAGTCTCTCTATACATCAAGCAAGAAGCAAGGAAGAATAAGAACGAAAAGAACTAAAAATAATGCATTGTCATCATGCATAGAAATAAAAGAACGAAGAATCATAAACAGAATTTTAAAATTTTGTTATTTGATCTGATTGCTGTTTATTTGATTTCTCAAGCTCTTTTCCTCACATAGTAAGTACGGTATTATTTATGTGTGCGCAGCTAGACGTCTAGGAATAGGAGAACAAACAGAAAACAAAAACTCGCACGTGTGGTGTGAGCGGTTGGATGTGGGTTTGGTTGTAGGTCTCCTCGTTAGGAGGGTGTGGGTGGGTGTGAGGGTGTGGATGGGTGTGGGGTATGGGTATGGGTGTGGGTGTGGGTGTGAGTGTGGGTGTGGGTGTGGGTGTGGGTGTGGGTGTAGGTGTGGGTGTGGGTGTGGGTGTGGGTGTGGGGTGTAGGTGTTGGATGTGGGGTGCGGGTGTGGGTGTGGGTGTCGATATTCACTTCATTCACAGCCACAGCCACACCCGAACCCATAGCCATAGCCACACCCAAACCCATAGCCACAGCCACAGTCACAGCTACATCAACACTTCACACCCACACCCACATTCTCGAGCTTTTAGCACAATCGTGTTCTGATCTTAACAATCAGAAAGTGATATCCTGCCAAGAAATCACAATTAAGTCATTATAACTAGACCAAGAAATAAAGCAATAGAGTTGGCCAAGTTCATCCTTTCTAGATGTCGACGTTGGTCATAAGTCACTTGAAATACAAGCAATAACCGCTTTCAATTTCTATATATCTTGATAAAATGGTTCTCCTTAACAACTTCAAATATTAAAAATTCGTGTAATCTATTCTCAATGAATGTTTACATTATGGAACTAGTGATGCAGGCAACTTTGTTGGTACACGCTGCGTGATAATTTATTAGAACTACACAAAGCTCTGAAGTGCTCTACAAAGAAACTTTTTCTGGAAAAAACGAAACATGAGATACAAACTCACAAATATTACCGTAGCTTGTGTTAATACACTATTGTCACTCCACTACCAATGCACACTCTTTGAGCTGACCAAAACTTTTTCTTACATGTAATTCCTACCTTATGTTAATACGACACTCCTAATAATAAATGAAATTGCGCATGTATACGGCTTATATATATATACATAAGCATTAGCGCCGTGTTTTTTCTATTTACTATGAAAAATGTATTCATTCGCGCAGTACTTGATGTAGAACGGATATGTGTGCAAAGCATGTTTAGTCGTACATTCAGCGAAGAATAAAAATGCATAGCAGTGTAGCCATTCAATTCATTCCATATGAAAGCGCACCCTATAGCTATTTACTCATGCTTCGAACAACGCAAATCGGCCAACATACACATGTACAGGCGGCCGATGCGCCATATGTTCTAGTTTTTTGATGTTATTGCACTGCTTGAAATCGCTAACTCGACAAGAACATTTGCTCTAGAAAATATGGTGTAATTGGATAATTGTTTGCTATCTTAGACATAGACAACAGGTGGCACGTTTAGAAAAGTGTGTATGCATAGAGCTCTACTAGCATATGTCATGCACGTACAATGTATTCACAACTTCAATCTGGCAAAACAAGTTAACCATGTATGGGTGCACGTTAATGTCTCAAGTTTTGCATATATAAGAGTGTCGATTGTACCGAAGTGTTCTTCGAGGTCAATGACACTGTTAGTCTTACCTTCAGAATAATTTCTTTATCTTCAGCGAGGCAAGTAGAATTTGATATGATATGAGGGTCGACGTTGTGTTGAAAAGTATTAAATCAACATCTAATGACATTATCTAGCGATTCTAAACGCTAAATCTCATTGAAAGGCTAAGACGATCGGCTTCCTTGTTTCAATCTTACATCGATTTGGAAGTCAGAATAACGAACCGTCTTAAACCAAAATAAAAATGTGGACTTTAGGAATATGTTGAAGAATTGTCAAGAAAAGCTATTCAGGGTGTGGGTGTGTGAGTATTCATTCATATAACAAATAAATGCCCACACCTACACCCTAGCCAAAACCGAACTTTACTTAAAATAGAATCTAGTGCAGGAAGCTTCCAATGATGGCTTCTTGTATCTTGTCTTGACCAGTACTTGACAGAATAACTATTTACATCGTTTCGACACGTTGCCACTTTTGTTAAACCATCAGCAAGGATGTATACCAGAGCAATGCAACGGCCTTGCTGGCATAAGGCTTCACTGAAATGTTAGCAAAAGGCAGCCGCCCTGACGTCATCTCGGGCATTTTAGCATTTTTAGATCATAAGAAATATTGAAGGTGAACTTGCGACTTACTTCATGTAACTCGCTGATGGAAAGAGATCTTTTGTCTTTATAAAATTGCAAAAGAGATAACTAGCTTATAGAACGACTACAATTTTTTCTTTATTTTTATTAGTTTTCTCAAAAAGATTATTGAATAATTATCCTTTGGTAAAGTATACATTATATACTCCCATGACATTTCATCTCCGTTTGGAAATTTCTTCTCTACTCATAGAATCTTCGCTTGCTTTATGTTAGAGCTTAAACCAGGTCTACCCACTGTCACGACCTCACACTCGACATAATCCACTTGTAAACATTCACAATCATACCTATGATGACAAAGCGTTAAAATAACCAGCACCCTCAGGCCAGAATTAAAAATCGAGAATGAAAATCAACTTGCTAAGACATCTATTTTCTTTTCTTTATGTTGCAGAGTGCATGACAACGCATTTTTTTCATAATTCTTACCGATCTCTCACCGTTCTTTTGTGCTCTTTTCTTTTTGCTTTACATCAACATTCTTTCCGACTATTCATACTTTTTATATCTTTTGTCCTCTCGCTCTTACCTCTTTTTTTTTGCAAACACACCATACATCCCATAAAAAAAAAGAAAAATGGCTGAGAGCAAGAAAGCCATCAAATTATACAGAATGGCAATGTGTACGTGTACCAGACGAGTTCGGCGTGTGTTAGAGGAAATGGGTTTTTGCGTATGAAATTATTCTCGTTGATTTAAGCAAGGGTGAACATAAACAACCAACTTACCTTGCTATGCATCCGTTTGGTCAAGTTCCTCTACTTGAAGATATCAATGGAACAAAGATATTTGAATCCAGAGCTATCATGCGATATTTGTTAAAGAAATCTTCAACCGAAGGTAATGGTCGAGGTGAATAAAAAACGAAGTTATTTTTTACACATATTCTGATAGATCCTATGGTACTGATTCTGAAAATCCACTTTTTTCCATTGACCGACCGATCGAACTTCTCTTCCATAGGAAAAATGCAAAAACCTGAAAGTTAAACTATCGACATAGCATCGAAATTAGTTTATCGTGACTTGCGTTAAAAACTAGTCTAACAAAATATGATTTTCAAATTTATCGAAGCACTTTTGACGCTATCAATTTGTATACGTTCTACCCAAACTAAGAAATCCTTCTTGCATCCTAGATAGATTTCAAAAAAGTTACCCATCTGTGCCGCTGAATTAAATATAGTTTATGAATTAGAGCGTTTTCGCGGAAAAAAAAACAAGTTTGTCAGAGTTTTCCAAAGATTCAACTATCTGACAAACCCTGATGGAAGATTCTGAAAACAAAGAGATCATATTGGTTTTTTTCTATACGACACCCAGGTGCAAAATTGCAGCCTCCAGATGCCAAAACCTATGGTCAAATGAAACAAGAAGGCATTTATAAAGGAAACCGGACGCAATATGGAATTAAGGTTGACCAAGACCAGCAAGTTCAAAAAAGGGAGAAAAGTTTCAAAAGCCGACTTTTTATTGGTTGTCCTTGCTGGATGACTATTAATGGTTAAATGTCGAATATGAAAATTTTAATCGTGAGGCTGCTCCTCTTGTGTTCAAAACGCTGTGGAAACCAAAGATGAAGCATTTGGGTGAAGTTGATCAGAAACTGGTAGAAGAAAAAAGAAAGAAATTGGAAGGTGTCGTAGAGATTCTCGATACTCATTTGGAAAAGAATCAATACTTCGCTGAAAATGAATTTACTTTGACTGATATTATTTATTTACCATATACCGAAAATCTGATCAGAGCTGGCCTTGGTGATCTTTTGTTATCAATGAGTAATTTTTCTTTATGATAGAAGACGTGTAGTGAATGATCAAGCTGGAAGTTATGCAAAACTCAACAGGAAATTGACTTTTAGAACACTCATTTGAAATACTGTAGATTATAACTTAGTCACATTTCTCTCGGTTGTTCTTCATTTTCAGTTTCTTCGAAGCTTTCTATGTAGCACGTATTTGTTATCTCAAATCTAAATTCATATCAGCTAAGGGAATCGTCAAATGGTATGATTCTTGTGGTCTTGTATGATCATAACAAGGATGAATATAGTTTATCATACCATAAAATCTTTTTAAAAAAATATTTGATAATAAAACGAAACACAACGTGCTGTTAAAGAAAATATTAACATTATTTGTATATTCATTCTTTTAATCTTAGACTCACATTCATACTCGCACTCTTCTTTTTGAT